TAATTAATATTAATAAATAATAAATTAGTAATCCTATAAATTTTTAAATATCTATATGACATATTTTTAAAATATTTATTTTCCACAATTTAGCATATTTTTAAGCATTTTATTTCCACAATTATGAAATCTGTGAAACTTTTTAATTTTGTTTGTATTTTTATTTATAAGCTTTTGTGATGTGATTGCAATGTTCGTTCCAGCTTCCAATTAAGGTTCACAATAGTTCTCTTATTGCGTTGGTAGCATTTTTTTCTTTACTTGTCGAAGTGTTTAGCCACTATACAACTACTGGTCTAAATAGAGAAAATAGTGTTGTTGTATTGCGTACATTTCGGCCAGTATAGGCCAGCAAGTTACGGTTTTTTGCCATTCTTGCGAACTACCGAAAACGCCAAATATTAGAATCTGATAGCAAATGAGAGCATTGGGGAAATTGGAAAAATGCCAAGATTTTGATTATTTTTTAAAAAGCAATATTAAATGTGTCATTACCTGCATGGATACAATTTATTTAAGACAAATTTACTAGAGTAATTAAAAGAATATTTTATGATAAATACGAATTCTTTTTATGTACATACATATAAAAAATTGAGAATGTTTCTTACATATATTTTAAGTTCAATATTGTTTTAAATTATTAATATTGCTTGCGACTTATACGTATATATTATTGCTGTCTATTGTTCATATTGAACACATTTTATTTTTATTGTTTCACTTAGCTTGTAAATAATTGCATCTTATCTGAAAATATCAATAAGAAAAAAGTCGACTCTTTTATACGAAAAAAATTTTATATTACTTTAAAAAAGGCGTTAATACATGTTTTTTCAAGGCAGCTTATATCTGTATATATTCATAGCAAATGATACATTTATTTCCAAAGTTATTACCAAAGTTTTATGTAAAATTAAGATGACGTTTCAATTGTCACATGACTACTGCTATATTAATTAAACTTAGAATTCACCATGCAATAAAAAAAGTTAATATAACGTATATTTATATTGAAATAAATTAATACTAAACTTTAAAAAAAAGAAATTTATTTTAATTAATAAAATATTTGGAATGTATTTTAAAATTGCAAATTCACCTGAATAACTCATTATCAGAATTCAACGGAACTCTTGTTCAGTTAATCATGCAAGTGGTCACGGGCACTAAGTAAAAATACTTATGATACTAACTCGCGTTTCTTTAAGCAAATAAGACATAAAATTGTAATGAATATTTTAAAACTATTCTCAAATTTATATTTTTTATATATGAAAAGTTTAGATTTTACACCTTACAAGGATATTCATCAATTTTTGTCATAATTAATATCAATAATTTATTTACTCATTTATATGATATATATCTTGCTTTTTTTAAATATAGATCTACTAACCATTCATGCCATTGCTACACGTACTGTCTGCCACAGATGGCTCGAGAATCATTTTAGTTACTATGTTATAAAGCCACAAAATGGAATTCATTCAAAGCAACAATAGGCAATAATTTCGTTTCAAAATTTATGCTAAGTGTAGTCGTTTGTAGTCTGTGTATTAAATATAAAAAATTCAAATTTCAGCAAAGGATCAACTCGTGTATGAAATTTTTGCAAATAAATATTGCAAGATACATATGAATTATTTTTTTATAGAGCTCGCACTAATAATAAATGGCTATAATAAAGACGTGCTACACCTAATAATGATAATGGTGTTATACGGCTATAATTTACATTAAAATCGACAATACGAATATTTCTAAGAATATTTCATGTCTATATCAATATGGTATGACAGTATTTAATATTAATAAGAGTACTCATCTAAACTGATAAATACCTTATAAACCTTATAAATGTATAAATTTATCTACTTGGTAAATGAAGTATCAAATTTTGTATGAAAAATCGTTTACATAAACTTGATAAATTTTCACGAAAATTTTACCGAATAAATTTATCTGTTGTCAATACAGAGTTGCATTCTAACACAAACAAGTCATTTACAAAAATATCTTTGTAAATACTTTTTAGTTTAAACTTTTCGTTCAATTTCGGTATTTTATTTTATAATTTATTGATAGCGACACATCTGATCAATAAAGTTTGCACAAATATTTTAAATTGCAACGATATTGGCTTAAAAATTGAGCTGCTAAGCATTGCATTTTGTGCTGTCATTATTATTGCTGATATAAATAGTGCTATTATATTATAATATACAGATTGATAAATTTACGCAATTATTTCATATAACCATGTACATAAACGCATAAAATTATTCATTTGATAAATTTATATGCTTAGATGAGTACCCCTAATATTTAAAACGTGATGTCAGATGAAATGCCTTTATATTACATGTGTAACACAAAAACAACGCGTCACTGTGTATGTATATTATTAATTTATAACAGCTGTTATTTACTAGTTACTAGTGTTTATTTTATAGTGACAATGTCGAGAACCACACATCAAAAAAAACTAGTTTCTTAACATGTTTCAATACAAAGCCATTGTTGTGGTTTTGGTGGTTTTGTTACAAAAATGTATGTATAAACTCATATGCACACAAAAAACAAACACAAAAAACGAGTTCTTTGTATCTGTTTGGACACAGCTTAATGCTAGAATTGCAGATACTAAATGAAAGCCTTCGAATATCTAGATATGCGATTATTATTTGTAGTCAAATTATTCGAAAACTTCGTGAGCGATAGTAAAAGGAAGAATGCGAAATACAAATGAACATGCATCACACAAATAAGCGCAAAATTTTGTATAAATAGAATTTGTTTTTGTCAGTACGATTTTGTGTGTCCCGTATTTATTGCAAGAAATTATCTATGTGCAATGTTTGTTTTATTTTATTTTTTTATTTTATTACATTTTCAATAACTAAATATGAAATTTACATTTATTATTCGTAATCATTTTAACCACAATCTCGCTCTCAAATCATAAGAAGCTGTAAATGTTTCTTTAAATACTAAGCCGCGTATTGCAATGATCTGAACTGTTAAATAAGACAATACTATCAAAAGCCAGTCATACTATTATATTCCAGGACAAGAATACCCTGCTCTTAAGTGTACGGTCTTAGTTTTTTAAAGTTCAAAATTCGCTTTCATTTGTTGCAGTAAATAAACTAAAACTGCTGCAGAAAATCAAGTTTGTCTACAACAGCATTCATTTATTATGAATATTTAGTTACATATATGTTGACTGTTCATAAGTAAAACAGCGAAAAATAGTACTCATTTTTGAATAAAACGTAAAAATCAAACCACCTTAATAAAATCATACTTTCATAAAGCCGGTTTTTTCATCCCATTTGAGAATATAACAAAAACATGACAAGTTATGTACAGCAATGCACTGAACGGTTGTTGCAATAAATATTATTACTATATAGTAATGAAACAAAAAATAAAACTTCAATTAGTGATCGTATTCCATATACTGAAATAACTGATTGAATTCCATTTAACTAAGTATTCCCTATTATGTAACAAATTGTTTGCATCATTATATTTGCATTGAATCTTGCAAATATAACAATTTTATTACATTCAAATAAGACCATTATATAATTACTTAAAGAAATACTATATGTTGTGATACTATAATTTCAGTAGTCGTTTACACTATAATTGTTTTTGTTTTACTGTTTGTTACTTAAATAAAAATCCATAAATCAAATCTGCTGACTATAAACAATGTTTTACATTAAAATAGGTTTAACTACAGTTTTTCAGTTAAGTGGACATAGCATATTTCTTACTTCATAAGGGATATTTGTGTTTTCGTACAATTTTGTTAAATCTGGATGAAATGAAAATATCTCAAAAAAAATCTACAAAATTCATGTTATAACCTGTTTCCAAAAGTGTATTTCCACATAACAAACTAATAGCCTATTTGCGCGAACAATTCATTGTAATTTTATTTGGATTTTATTTGGATGTAAATGTTTCGCATTAAATGTAATTTGCGAATGTTGCAGCAATTTTTGCTTTACTGTGATTTATTGAATTAAAAATCAATCATAATCGAGCTTTTTAAATTTTTGTATGAGATCGGATTGTAACTTTATAACGAAGCGAGTCGAACGTTGAACTTCACTACAAAATAACAATTACTTGTGCTGTGTGAATAGACTAAGAATAAATGATGCCAATGTCCTAAATGCACATATCACACTTTAAACTCATTAATAACATATTTTAACATTTTATGTACAAATTTAGTGAAAATAAAATGTTTAAGATGCGCATTCCACACACAGTCCACAGAATTGCACTAAAGTATGGAAACCCATATACAATATATATGTTTAAAAAAAAAATATTTAAATAATAAAACCAATAATTTTAGAATCATTGTTTATAAATATTCTACATATTTACGTATATTTAATTTATGTACTAAATTTTATAACATAAAACAATAAAAATTGTTGACTAGTTTTAAATCAGATTAAAATTCTTTGGATGTTATGCAAATTAATTGTAGTACATTTACAAATTACTGCTAATAGAAAGTAATATATAATCTTAAATAAAATTAACTCAAATGTAACACACAAAACACGTATAAATACATTAAAAATATTTGGACGGAATAATTATTAAAAGGTTTTGAAATTATAAGTAAATGAATTTTTTTTTTATTTTTTTGTAAACAATTTAAGATAAAATAGTTTATAAACTGCAAGGTAAAAAGTAGTTTGGGAATTTTGTTTTTAATTTTTAATATTTAAAAAAGGCGTTTGACAGAAAAAATTTCAACACCATTTTTACCAAAATTTATAATTATATTTTTAAATATGATTTTTAAACTTTTGTTAACGCATTATTTTATAATAAACCAATAATGGTTTATAGTAATGATTACATAATTTCTTAGGTTAGCTTTACGTTTGGGTTATGTATTATTTATACTGCATTGATAATTTATAGTTTATATATTAACGAAAATATGCATTTTTAATATTTATGTATAAATATATTTTATACATACATATGTTTTAATAAATATGTAGTAATTTTTATGCTACGATATTAATTTGGTAAGAGCAATTATAAAATGCAATAGTAAAATTACTTAAATATCGTCCTCTGATGTAATGAAAATATCAAAATTCGCTGCTACTGCATATTCAAATGATGAAATTCAGTGATGTTCTGTGCTCAGGCATTAGATTCCTGGAAAAAAAAACATAATTATATTTTTATAAAGTAAGTAGTAGTAGTAAGTAGTTATAAGTAGTTGGACATGGCAAATAGATACATATTTTAAATAATTTTAAATTTTTACAATGTTGTTATATTTAAATTAATTCAGTATTTCAAATCATTTACTATAATGTAGTGCATTCTAATTAGTTTTATTAAACAAGTTATGTTAAGATCAATTTATGTTAAGCAAGTAATATTTTAAAATTATGTTAAGAAAGTTATGTCAAAAACATAGAAACGTGAAGACATGTAATTTGCCTCTGTTAAAAAAATCATGAATTCTGAAAAGGTACACGCAATGGGAAAAACATGTCTGTTCAAACGTATAAACAATCGAACTTATTATTTTATGTATGATCAATGCTATTTTGTTAGTGAAGTGAGCAATCAAACCAATAGCGAATATGTTGTATTTTGTTTGGACAAAATAATATAGAAAAAACTCTAATATTAGAGCAAATGCACACATAGCTTCCAGTTCATGCGTATGTAAGTTTCTTGGTAAATTTTTTCTACTCTTCTTATAACTGTTTATTTATAAGTTTATTTATATTAGCGTGAATATTTTTGTTTCATTGCTAATTTTTCTAAACATTTATAAATAGTATATTTTTTATATAAATTTATAAATAAACAATAATGCTTTTGTATACTACCTAAATTTCCAATACAGTGTTCCTTGAAATGTCTGCTGTAAAACAAATCCTTTTGAGAAGGGACACACCTATTTGCAAAGTTTAAATATTGAATCCGTTTTGACAATATAGTTTTGACACATGGAAATTTATCAAATTTTATATCACATACGTTATTACGACAGTTCAAAATACACAAAATCAGCGATAATTTTTTTATAATAGTGAAATTGAATTGAATTTAAAAATTTTTTATTTTATTACTTTCTTTTTCAAAAAAGAATACCATTTAAATGGTATTAAAGAAATCGTAGCAAACACTATAAAAAAAAAAGAAATAAAAAAAGTATATAACAAAAATTGATTTAAGGATTCGATTTACGGGTGCCACAATGAAATTTTGTTAAAAACTTTTCAATAACAGTGCTAAATCAAACTGGGTACTTAAAAAACAAGTGTAAGATTTAATAATAAATTAAAAAAATTGTAAATATTTGAACTTCTGTGTAAAACATTAACTTAATTATATTAATTAATACTTTCAATAAGTTATATCAAATTAATAAGTAATTTTAATTTTTAATAACTTTATTATGATATCTTCAATGCCATTTAAATGGCAGTACTGAGGGTTTTTTAAACCTAAAAATAAAGTTGTTAATATAGTGCAAAATTTACCAGCATATTAAAAACAATTGCAAAAATTTGAATTCTGTCAAAGTTTAACGCATATCTTACGATTAGTTTTTGTTTGACGTCTATACAAAAAGTCAAAAAATTTTCGTGTGCCGATTTTTATAATGGATCAAAAATTAGAACAATGTGCGCGCATCAAATTTTGTATTGCAAATGGATTTAAGTGTGAAACTATTAAAACTATTAAACTATTAAAAAATATTAAAAAAGGTTTGGTGATTTGTGTGTGTCGCAACCATTTTACAGGGATATTGCCAATGCTTGCAAAGTGGCTACCGCCCATGAGAAATATCCGGAGGTGAATCTCACTGGTGATCATATGGAGATGATAAAATCGAAGCTCCTAGAAGAAATTGACAAACTTCCTAAAGACAATAGTGTCTACGGCTTCATCACCAGTGTTAACAGAGATGGATGGCTCTCATTAACATGCTGCAATGGTGAAACAAGGAACTGGCTGACCACCTGTGTACCAAAACTCAAACCATTTCCGGATGCTAGTCTCAAAGTGTTTCAGGGCGGAGAGATGCCCAAAACCTATGTGTACATCACATTTATTCCCCCCTCTGATGTGCTTCCACCGGAAGTTTTGATGTGCCGCTTGGAGAAACAAAATGGTGGCATTTGCACGTCATCGTGGAGGATTCTTAGGACTGAGAAAGACAAGAATGGTGGAGAAACCATTACGATCTCGGTGGATGAAAAATCCAAAAATTGGATAGTCGGTCAGGCAGGGAAGCTGTACCTGAACTTCACACAAATTCACGTACCGGTGAAGAAACTGACGACTAAAAGGCCATTTACGAACGAGAAACCCAATGATGTCAAACAACAGGTGCCTATATCCAAAAGGCCGCATCCAGACGATAGACCCAGTATCTCAAAAGCACAGGCAGATAAGCCAAATGAGACGGTAAAGGTTATACAGGAGAGCACCCGAACTGATGTCGGACCCAACACCTCAAAACAGCATGGTAGTACACCGGTAAAGAAACCAGCTTCCAGATCCCCTCGACAGGAAGCACCCACTCATGGGACAAAATTGCCCAAGTGGATGCGTAACGGCAAGGGACGATACCAATAAAAATAATGAGGTACCTGCAGGTGAATCTTCAACACACCAAAGCTGCTACGGCGGTGTTGACACAGTACTTCTATCTGAAAAGATTGACCTAGCCTTTATCCAGCCCCTGCGGGATAGGGGTTAGAATATTCCCGAGGTAAGGCATGCCTGTCGTAAAAGGCGACTAAATTCCGGCAGGCGTCGGAGGGTGTGGTGTAAAAGATCACAATGACCCTGTGAAGCCCCTGTGACAAGACGAGTAGACGCCGTCTTTCAGTAAGCGTCCCCCACCCCGGGGTGGCATCGTGGGATCTAAATGTGCACAGCGACAGTCTCTTTATTGGGGGCGGCTAATGCACCACCGTGGGAGATGGAAGTGTACAGCGCCTATTACCATTCTTAAAATGGCTCTAAAGCACCACCGTTGGAATGTAGAAAAATATTGTACAAGCCTATGGTTAGGCATCGGAACCGAGACCGGTAAGGTTCCTGATTATGGCATACCGGAAAATAAGGTTAAAAACACAGTTTGTTATGGGCTGGGGTTGCGAATCTCTGTTACCTGAATATGCGGAGTGAAATCTTGCAAAAATGGCTCTCAGAAGGATCCGTAGCCTCTTCCGTCCCACGAAAACTTGGCAAGTCTCACATAGCGCTCAATGCGCGTAGTCATCTTGTTGATGACCTTGTAGGTTGGGTTGAGAGTACTCCCTATTAATTCCGGATTGAAGTCTGGCTCTGAACTCTGGATCCCATAAGGACCAGAGTCAACCCTCGTATGGCCTCTCTGTTTACATAGATAACCATAAGACTTACGGAAACTACATGCATGTGCGGAGATAGCGGCTGCGAGTTGGGGCCCTTATAAAATGATAAATATATATAATACAGAACATAAAAACGAAGAAGAAACAAATAGCACAATAATGCACACAACACAAATAGAACCACCGAAGAGGAACTCCGGGAGTGAGAGTTCACAAATTCACAAACAGTAGCACCGAGCAGTTGTACGACAAAAGGTGCACTAACAATGACAGAGTTGCAACCAAACAATGGAGAATCAGAAACCGCTCCCACTGAAAATGTCACCACAGCACGGCGAAACAAAAAATCGCAGCACAGACTGATATTACCAGCAGTGGCTACAGGCGAGTCCGTACTTACCATAAGTGAATTAATTGAACGCTTAGGAAAAGAAATAGATGGACTAATACAATATGTCGAACCACGCCGCTATGTTCACGGTGATATCAGTTAAATGTGCAGCATAATCAAACGCACCTACACGGAGCTTAGTACGGAGCTAGATTCCGAAAGAAGAAAATCGAGACCAACCGATGGTCTAAAACAGTTACGCAAGCTACCAGCAACAGTGACTGAAACGATAGAAATACCACCAAAAAAAAGAAAGAGAATGGACTTAAGCCCTAAAGGCTCGAAGCAGGCACGCAATACGCCCACTGCCATGAAAACAAAAGCTGACACAGTTTCTCTGCAGATGCCGTCTGACAAATGGACAAAAATCGAGAAAAAAGAAAAATCGTCGAAAGTCAAAAAGAAGATAAGATCTATTAGACCTAAAGCGGATGCAATTCTTATAGAAAAAAAGGTGGATGGTACGACATATGCGGACATACTAAAGAAAGTGAAAGACAGTGGAGAGCTCAAAGCTCTGAGCGAAAATGTCAGAACCATGCGGCCAACTCAAAATGGAGGGCTTCTCATAGAACTAAAGAGGAGCAGAGATGGAGGGTCAAGCGATTACCACTCTGCTATTGAAAAAGCCTTGGAATCTATTGCAACGGTCAACCTTAAAACACATACCGTTACAATTCAGTGCAGAGACCTAATAACAAACCTGAACACAGACGAAGAATTACTTGATGCAATCGGCGAGCAAGCGCAGGTAAAAAGACCGGACAAATCATCCATAAGGAGTAAACGTACCACCTATGGAGGCACACAATCTGCATATGTGTCATTGCCTGCGGATAATGCCAAAAAGTTGTTAGCACTTGGACACATTAAGGTGGGATGGGTTCGATGCCGAATAACGGAGGTTATATCGCCAAAAAGATGCTACAAATGTTGGGCGTATGATCACATAACATCCGCTTGTAAAGCACCGGATCGGACGAAACTCTGCAGACGGTGCGGTAAGGAAGGTCACCAGGCTGCAAACTGTACAAATACTGAAAAATGCTGCGGCTGGCAGCGCAAAATGTCCGCGATATCAAGAAGCAGTGCATAGGAAAAAGACATGAAAATATTACAACTAAATATTAATCACTGTAAAGCTGCCCAAAACCTTCTCCGGCAAACAGTAGCCGAAAATAATGTAGATGTAGTTCTAATATCGGAACCATACGGTAATATTGAGTCGCATAACTGGCTGACAGATGCAGAGAGACAAGCGGCGATTTGGATAGTAGGTGGAAAAATTCCCCAAAGTAAGATGCTCATGCTAGACAAAGGGTATACATGGGCGAAGGTGGAAGGTCTGTACCAGGTGAGCTGCTATGCTCCACCAAGATGGTCTCTAGAAGACTTTGAGCGTATGATGGTTGCAA